GTCGTGCTGAAGTCACAGAGTCTGCTGTAAAACTCTTGTGAGCAACCTCTCACACTGATGAACAGAGATGGACACAGCCTTTATACAACACAAAGGAGAGCTTTTACCCTACTGCCTAATGCTGCAGGTTACGAGGAGCTCAGACCACGTCCACCCTCTCCAGCAGCTTCTTCTGCTATAACAAGAGTGAGCTTAAGCAGTAAAATTTCTATGTGATGCAAGCCTGTATGATCACAGCCTCATGTCCGAACTCCTTACAGAGGTTGAGACTATCTCCAGGCTACAAATGTGGCCTGTGTAGAAAGGAACAAGAGCACAAGATCTTCTGGTGATGGCTCTTAAAAGAGAGCAAGCCTTTCCATAAGAGGTAAGACCTGCTGCTTCTCTGACTGACTGAAGTCAGGATGTCAGGCAGGGGTTCCTAAATGACACATCTTCTGTAAGTCTCGCTTCCTCTCAGTACAAAAAAGGTGGGGTTCCCCACACTACGGCAGGAGGTGGTAGGTGAACCTCAAATACCCATGGTGCTGGACTGAGTTACGACTCTAGACCCAGTCTCAGCTACGTATCTTACTGGTCAGTGGTAAGGAAACCATAAGTACCTCTGCAAATTCATGAAATAAAGTATTAAAATGTTCGGGTTTGGCCATTTCCAGTCTAAAAATACACACAAAGATGGGGCTTTTAGGAAAACAACAGCTGGGAAAACGCTTTTTCTGCCTAAAGCCATTTCCGCCCCCCCCAACCCCAAAACAACCCACCCCAAAGAACAGCCCTGGTCTAGGATCAATGATTAGATCTACATCCAAGTACATCTTTAAATACACAAGCAAGTACACACTTCTCTGATATACAGCATATCTGATGGAGAAGTCTGCCTCCTCAGATACGGATCTTCCTTGGAAGCCAGAGCAGCGGCCGCAGTGCCCTGCCTACAGCAGCAACTGGTGCTAATGGGGATCATGGTAACGTCCCTGCCAGGCAGGGAGCATTTTGCTTCTTGAATGCAGCCAGACCCGCGTTTAAAACCCTGTGGCACACAGGACAAGAAATTCAAACCTGATGGCTGCCATCAGGGCACGCTCAAGCAGCCACTGAACCAGGAACGGCTTGGACTAAACCCCCGAGTGAGTTACGGCCACGTAAGCTGCAGACTGGAGGCTCTGGAGGAGCTGAAGACACCCATAGAGCAGATCAGGTTGAGATAGCAGCTTGCAACACCTGCTTACAGCAGGGTCCTGCATGCAAATAGCAAGCAAGTACTGCTGATTGCATGCGAGGGAAATTGGGTGGCGCGATGCCAGCCCCTGCTGCAATCAGCTTCTCTGTGGTGCGTACAACTAGGGCTCAAGTGAGAAACAAAGGGGTGGCAAGCAACGCGTAGGCTTTAGCTGGCAGGGTCGGAGTATGGGCACCACTTAGATAAGGTCCTAGCAATGAGGACTACCTCTCTGGAGGAGGACAGGGCTTGCGTGGCCCTGCCAGAGCTTCAGGCTGCAGACCCAGACCGTGTACAACCTTCCTTGTACTCACTATCTGCTTGGCTGGCTGCAGTTTGAAGGACTAGTCTGCTCAGGAAGTGGTTGGCTTTAGCTCTGGCTGAGGAAGAGATCAACAGTTAAACTGAATACCAGAGGGCAAATGTCTACCCCTTGGAATCTATCCCCTGGAATCAAGAGCTATGTAAGTCTTTGGTGACGGGCAACTGGGAAAACACATGGAGGTGTTAAAGGTGCTAACATAACCTAACCAGACAGGCCACGGCTCGCCAGGGTTTCCCCTGTGCTGTTGCCTCCTGGGCTGTGTCCTTGAGCTGGCCAGACTGAGTCTGAGACAGGGGTCTTGTGTGTATTATTCTGGCATATACGTTACATTATATTGCCTCTGGGAATAGGCTAGCTTCAGTTTTTCCAGTTTTTAATCACATTCCTGGCATAAATGTGGCAAGTCCCATCTATGGCAGCTTGCAGCGCAGCAATAGGCAAGTTCAACGCGCTGTGAAGCACAGCCCCAGGCT